ACATTGTGGCTGAGCCCGGCTTCCTGGCTGTGAAGCCAGCACTGTCGGCATATCTCGGCCGCCCGTGGAAGGAGTACTCGCGCACCATCATCATGCAGTCCAACATCGACGGGTTCATCGCCCCTGAAGGGTGGTCCCCGTGGATGGGGACCTTTGCGCTCGACACGCTGTACTATGGGGAGTACCAGAACCGTGGGGCTGGGTCGGACCTCAGCAAGAGGGTCAAGTGGAAGGGAATCAAGAAGATCACCCCAAAGATCGCAGAGAGCTTTACCCCGCAGGTGGTCTTCGCCGGGGACGAGTGGGTCAGGAGCGCCGCCGTGCCCTACGTGCCGGGCTTCGTGCAGATCTGAAGAGGGATCTTGTATGAGTGACCCCTCATTATTGTGATTCAATTTTTTTCTATATATATATACACATTTGTAATATGTAATTGTATTATCAATGAGATTGAGTGATTTCGTGTGATTTATAACATGAAATGATTTTCGCAGAGTTAAATTCAAAAATTAAGAGTAGATTGAGAATAATTTTAAAAACTTTCAAATAATCAATGAAGTTGTACTCGAAAACGAGTATTTATATAATAAAATTCATTATGCTCATTTTGCATTGTATTTTAATTGCTTTCAGTACTTTGATGATCCCCTCTTGAAAGAACAACTAGTGCGGTATCCGTGCGATGCACGGACTAGTTTTATTAAGGAAAACATCTAGATTTGGAGGATTGAAATAACGTAAAACGCATGTGTTGGAATAAACAAAATGTAACTTTTATATTAGTAAACATACCTTGTACGCAACATTATTCTTATACGGATGGACCAGATGGGATACCCTTCCTTCATATTTGTGTAGTCGGTCCTACCTTTTGTGCATCCGCTCTTCCGCTGTCCCGGGATGCTGACTTTTTGGCCTGGACCCTTCCGCGCCAGGAGACGTTATCTTTGTATTACTGGCAGCTGAGGCCAACCTTTTCTTGTTTTCTTTTACGATTTTGGTTTCGTTTTTCGTTTGACTTGATGTATTCCAGACATTGTACTTGTAGATTTTGACTTGTTAGCCCACTTAGGGCCTTTATATATACAGGTTGGGGGTTCGGCCTAACCCCCCACCCTCCTGGGTGTTTATTTTGAAAAAAAAAAATATAATATTTGTTTGGTCTTTTGGTACATCGTATATAACCACAAATTATACTAGGATTCGAGATAGGCTTAAATAAATTAATTAATTATTTATAAGTGCACGCAATCATTATTTAATTTGTAAGTGTATGCAAACAATTTCAAATTTGTATTCTAGAGGATTAAACAAAATCCAAATTTTTGGAATGTTCCAATCCGAATTCATTTTGAATTGCAAATCAATAATATGACTCTATTTTATGTTAAAAAAATCGAACTAAAGAAAGTAATAGTCAAATGATAAGGGATTTTTAAAATTTAATTTTCAATTTAATTTTTTTTTTAATAAACATGATATGTTGCAATTAGGTAAACATACATGTTATAGAATTTTGCCTAATTCGAAATTCCCGATTTTATGGTAAACATATTTTTTGTAATAAAACTTAAGAAAATTTTCACTTTTGCAAAATTGTCATGTCGAATTTTACATAATTTAATCCGATTTCTATTCACTCTGATTTTTTAAATAAATAATTAATATGTTGCAATTAGTAAAAGATACGTTATAGTATTTTTCCTAATTCGAAATTCTCGATTTTGTGGTAATCAGTTTTTCTTTAATAAAAATGCGAAAGAATTTTGACTTTTGCAAAATTGTAAGCATCAGTCGAAATTTACCTAAATTAAATCAACAAAATCCATGAATTTAGGGTGCATATATAGCTGATTATTTTTTATGAATAATTTTTAAAAAAAACTGTCAAAAATAGAATGCAATAAATGATGGTTTACTTTTCTTGTTACTGTTTTTGGTAAATAGGTTCTCTCTTTATATATACTAGTACGTAACCTCGTGTGATGCACGACTGTATTTTTTCTGGTAAAATTTATAATTGTATAGTATTAATCAATAAGTTATAATACATAGAGCATTTGTTAGGTAATCGTAAAATGTTCATCATGAAAAATTATTAAAAACATCGTTGTTTTTCCATGCAAAAATTACTTTGCACTTGGCAACCGTAGACCGATATTTACTAACATTGCTATCCACTTGGTAATTGTGAATTGCATAGACACCTTTCTTACTTGGTAATTGTGAATTGCATAGACACCTCCTTGGATAGTCTTGAGGTCATAGTTTTGGGCCGCCTCCCCGTGCACGATGCATGAGGTGTTATCTCCATTGATCGGTCGGACAAAGTACCTCATGTTGGGGGACGGTGGTGGCAATTGTTCTTCTTGGTCCGCCATTTGTTCCGGTTCGGGTTGTTGTTCGTCTATGTTGAGTTCGACGTATAAATTGATGGGTGGTGTCTCCTCTCAGGTTCCACGCCTTCGTCTACCTCGCATGAACATAAACAAGCAACTATACTCGTGAATGCACCAATGTGAAACAAGAGCAAAACGCGACAAACATAAATTATCTACAAAAAGCAAGAGAAACCAAGAGTAATACGGAAATTAACCAAGGTTCACAAATATAATGAGAAACACATGAAAAAGGGACAACTAAGTAGCAAATTGGGCTTTCTACTTGCCTTCCCCGGCAACGGCGCCGTTTAGTTTGATAGAAAATCGTGGGTTAGATGGTAACCAATCTACCGACCTTGGGTCATTCCAAAAACAAACAAAACGAGAAAACAAACACCTAAACATTCTAATCGATGAGTTCGGGGTTGAATTAACACTAAGAAAGCGAAGAATTACAAGTAATAGCAATCAACAAACAAAAATGAGCGAATATTGAAATTAAACTATCGAGTTTTTATGCCATCGACACAAAAAGAAAAACAAATAACAAAGAGAAACATGCAAGCTATGAGCACTAGGTAATTAACCCTAACCCTATGTCATTAAGCTCTAAATAGAGTCTTAACCTCTAATCTAGATAGACAAGCAATTAATCCCTATAAACACTCAAGCAAGCAATAAAAAATAATCAAGTCCAAACTTTTCATCCATCATCCAACAATACTCACATTCACCTTGATAAGCATCATAAGCAAAAACGAGTCAAAAACCGAATTAATGAGATTTAAAGATAAATGCCCAATCTTCTATTGTGTAGTAGATGAAAATCAGTTTCAAAAGTTCGGAACTTAGACAAAAACGAGAACGCCGGAAAAGTTGCCGGAAAATGATGACATGAATCTCCAAGGGGAGAATAGAGAGCAAAATAGAAAAATAAAGTTTTTCCAAAGTGGGAAAGTAGGAAAATGAAAGTTGGGTCCCCAAATTATAAAGAACTAACTGTATTTATACCCACTAGCCAAAAACGCACTAAAAAACCCACATTAAGTAGAACACTCACGAGCTCGGTAAACGGCCCGCTGGTCACGGGTGCAGGTGGCAAGGCGCGGGCGTGACACGGGGGACTCGCGACGTCGTTGATACGGGCGCGGGCGCGGACGCAGCAGGGTCGACACTCGCGCGGACATGAAAAAGGACGCAGGTCGCGGCAGGATGACGAGGCGAGGCGCGGCAGGGCGACACTCGCAAGGTTGCGGGCTCGCCAGCATGGTCGGTAGTGTTGGGCACCACGACACACAGAAGGTCGCCGGCTGCTCCGCGTGGTCGCGAGTTTGCAGAAACACGGGTGACTCGGCGCACAGGAGCGCGCGGGCTGGGATGCGAGGTCACAGACGTGACAGAGCACAGGACACATCATCGATCGTCAAAGACACGAAATACTCGAATATGATCAAGAACAGCTCGGGGTCACTGGAATTGGTCGTGTCTCAAGAATTAATCGGGCAAAAGTCATACACACCCAGAAACAACTCGAAACTGGCCCAGATAACTCGGATAAGGTTCGTACATGGCTCATAAATGTCTCAGAAAATAGCTCGTCTTCCCGATTGTGAAAATTAGACCTAAACAATACACTAAAAGAAACGCGAAAATAGGGCAAAATACAAAAGCACATGACGAAATCAAAAACACATAAAACACGAAAAAAATAGACCGGTTTGACGCTAATACGAACCTGAAAACGACTCAACTCAATCATATAAAATGTAAGAAAATAACCACAAAACATAACAAACATTGCCAACAAATTTGCAACGGAAATGCTTCATCAGATTGACAAGGGATTCTCAATAGAAAATTTAGTTGCTAAATCATTCTGTTGATAAATTATTAACAGAAAGCCAACATATTAGTGACGAATATACCAACGGATTACCAACGGATATTATTGCAACAGATACCAACAGATTGTTTACTAACATATTTCCAATGGATTTTCCCAACGGAATACCAACGGTATTTTTCCCAACGAATTACCAACGGATTTTTTTCCAAAGGATTACCACGAGTTTTTAGCAACAAATTACTAACGGATTTTAGCAACAAATAAAAAATTGTTGATCCATCTTGAAGACTACAACAACATGACCCACCTTGAACCACATGGTTAACGGACTTTTTAGGAACAAAAAATTGTTTATCCAACTCGAAGGCTACAACATGACCCACCTTGAACCACATGGTTCATCTTAAGTCCATGGTCATCCACCAATATAATTCTTACTGATTCTCCCAATTCTCCCAACAGTGGGCTTGAACTCAAAACTTCTTGCATGTTAAAGTCAGTTACATCACTACTATGTTATATGAATGTATGAGATATGGCTCTAAATTCTTATTTTTATCATCTATTACATATTTCTTTACATATGTATGTATATATATATGTACGTGTGTGTGTGTGTGAGAGAGAGAGAGAGAGAGAAACTTGTATTATATATTTCAATTCATAAAAATTTCTATATCATTTATGATCTAACCATTTAATTAAATTTGGTGTTTTTTTTAATATTTTTAATTATAAAAATAGTCATTATATATAAATATCTATAAATTTATGACATTATGAAATGAAAGTCATTGCTAACTATTAAATGTGACGAATTCATTGTAAAATATGTAATTTTGTGATTAAATCAAAAGGGTTATTAATAATGTGCATTCGAGTGACAAAAGTAAATAAATTTTGTCATATGAACTATGAAATTGTGATAAGATATCACCAATTTTAAAAAATAGTATCATAAAATATGTAATTTATAGACAACAATGAATAATTTCATAAAAAAAATATATCTTTTTAATAAAAATATCAAAGAGCCAATTACTCAAATTGGCGTGCTCTCCGTGTCTGTTTTGGCATTTCAGCATGCCTTTAAGCTCTCCAGTAGACATACGTGAGGTTACATGCC